CGAGAATGGGAATGGGGAAGCCCAATTCCTTCCCCGGTATTTTAGGCGACCCAGACCTGCCAGAGGCAAAGAGGCCCCCGCACCCTCCTCGTCACTCAGCTACCGGGAGCGTATGATCACTCATTGAGTGCGAGGGCGGAGAGTGCTTGCCCATGCTGCGGTTCAGATGCGCGCTGGGCGACCACTTGCGCTGCTATTATTATTGGACATCGAATCTGTAATACTAGGACCAATGCCAACACCGGGTATAGTAGTCGCCGGCGTCCCCGTGCCCCCCAGACTCCTATCAGCATCCGTCTCTGTCACCATTGGCCCTTCACGCGCACTGCCACCGCTCCCCACACTCCTATTGCTGTTACGTGGGTACGTATTCCGAAGTTCCTCAAGCTTAACATCCTTCCACGAGCACTTGGCATGTTTCTTCGTACAGCCCATACACGCTGTGAGATTCTTATGACAATCCATCTGTAGGCGCCGACAGCGGTCGCAGGGAGGCAAGATGCGCTCACCCCGCTGTAGCCCCTCCATGCGACTAACCATTTCAATCTTGTAGGGCCCTCCATCATCCCGCTCGTAGTGGTTCGACGACTTGGGTTGAGGAAGGAGGGATGAGGGAGTACTGGGGATGGGGACGGGGGCGCCTGCGTAGCCGCTGCTGCTATACTCGCCCGGGTCTGAGGCGCGGGGGCGTGAACGTGACGTTTGGCGGGCGGGAGGGGGGCATTCTGTCGTCTTCGTTGTTGTTTCTTCTTCTTCATCCGAAAAGCCGCGGGCGTGACGGTCGGCAGTTGTGAAGAACTTTTTCATCAATTCAGCACGCGTAGCTGGGGAGGCACCTTTGATTGAAGTGCCGTTGATGATGGTGATGTTGTCCGTACTGGAATGGGGGAACATAAACTGGGCTGCGGATAGGACGCTGGGATCATCCTGGGGGGGGTCGTATCGGGAATTAACAGCGACAAAACCTGGGGGGGAGTGAGGATGCGAATGGCCGTTGCTAGTATGGGTGTTGGTACCCATTACATTGCCATTGGATTCTCGGAATGGACTAATGGATCTTTGCTGTTGAGCACTGAGGGATAAATCGTTCTCTCTCCTAGTAACGATTGCAGTCTTGCGGTTCTTGAATCTGTGGTTTAATTGTCTAGCACGCGCTGACACTATGATCGTCACCAATAGGTTAGTCCATGACTACAGAACAGTGTAAAATAAAATAAAATAAAATTAAAAAATTAAAAATAAAAAATAAAAAATAAAAATAAAAAAATAAAAATAAAACATGTATTATATATTTTATTACCTTGATCAGCCAGATTAATGATCTGGGACAAATTCTTCTCTAATATTTCTAATGCGCCCAGCTCCTTCTCTTCATCTTCAACTATGGGCTGAGGAGGAATAATCTTCTGAGGGATACCGGACTTGATCAGGATGTAATCTTCCTCTGAAATTTCCACGCGACTCTGTTTGGTATAGATCTGACAGACGGGGACACCGTTGCGCGTTTTTTCGAGGGTAAACTGTTCAGGTTTGTTTTTTGCGAATTCGACCACATCAAGCCAGGAGACTGTTGTTCCTTCCTTTCCATGCGACTTGAGCACCTTGGGAGGACCGTCAAATAGCCGTTCGAAACGGGTGACGAGGATGGGCCCAAGGGGACATGCGCCTAGATTGCCTGCGATGCTTTCGTGTCGCTGGAGAACCCCGTCGTAGTCGTTCATGAGACGGAGGATGGAAGGGAGGGTGTCATCTGGGGAGACGAGGGGGATATTTTGTGGATACTGACGGGCGAGATAATTTATTTGCAGGTGGTTTGACTGTGTTTTGGGAACTTTGGCGGCGGTGGTATGTTGGTGGTCGCCGGAAGGGGATCTGGCGCGTTTGTTGCCCGACTCGGGGGGGATGGGTCTCGAGTCCATTGCGACAAAGATGTCGACGGTAGAACCAAGATGGTAAAAGAGAAAAAAAAAAATAGACACTATACTATTCAAAATGGGATATAGAATAAGAAAAAGAGGGTTCTATTGGGAAGGGGAAGGG